CCCCGTTTAGTATCTCTTGACAGAGATCAGGATCCACAATTCATTACTCCCATGATTCGTAATTTCTTATTTTTCCCCAATCATTTCTTGGACGATCTCTCTATTTTTGAAATACCTTTATAACAAAAAAAAATAAATAAATAAAGGAAAGAAGTGTATAAACATAAGTATAAATATAATACTTGTATGTGTGTGTGTAAAAATTTTAATATATAACATAATTACTATTACATTTTGTAATATATTATTGTGACAATTATAGAACAGAATAAGCGAATCATAAGCGATCACAAAGAGAATTCTTTTCACTTGTCATCTTTAAAGCTTATTTCGCGAAAGGAGACGATTACACCTTCCAGACACTTCTATACTTTTATTTTTGAACGAATTCGCTCGAAATCAGAAAAGCACCGATTACTCATCGCGCAGTAGCAGTATCCGCAAGTACTTAAGTACTTGACGAGATCTTCGAACACCTAGCTATTATGTCGTGTTCTCGCCGTTACATGAGAGTCGCGCTCGTTTCTCGAGTTACAAAACTCGGCTTGCTCGGCGTACTCCGCCCGTGCCTAAAACAATATTGGGGAGGACCGAGAGCGAGAGAGGTGAAGCGGGGCGGGATTTCGGCCGGGGTTGGGCACATTAGATATTTATTTAAGGCCGCCCGAGACACGGTCGCTTTGCTATTCGTTCGCCGTTTCACGACGAGTACGCGCGTGTGAGTCGAGTGCACGCGGCATCCACGTGTACGTGTACGTGTGCGTGTGTGTATGCGCGCGCGCGCGCGCGCGCGCGCGCGTGCTCATTGACATAGGTACCGCGGAGTCTTTGGCACTAAGTACCCCAAACTCGAAATGTTGACCCGGTTAATAGCCCCATGTTTGATTAGACTACTGTAGTTCGTATAAGCCGGCACCGGTAATGCGAGTTTCATCGTTGAGCGACCGGCTGCGTTCCACGACGCATTTATGCAGAAATGGATCGGTAATTAAAGACGCACCCTGCTCTCTCTCTCGTCTTTGCGTATCGCACACGCGGAAAATTGGGTAAGGCTATAATTAGCCGATGGTGACACTCAAATAGATGTTTAAATGCGCCGAGCGCGAGGTAAGCAAGTTGTAGCGTAAATCAATTTTCTTCAATCGTAGAATGCACACGTGGTTTTTGAAAAAAAGCCATTCAAAAATTTTTCAATTTAGAAAAGAATGAATAAATCTAAGTTAAAAATTGAAAATATAAAAAAATAGTAATTAGAAGAAAAGTATAATTATTTATTAGACATAATTATTATTACACGATTATAATTATTTATTACACAAGAATTTGTGTAATATAAATTTATATATTTTAAATATATGTATAGTTATATAATATTTTGATTAATTTGACTTTATTTCATTAACTCCTAACATGAATATTACTAATCGCAAAGATGTTTAAACATCTCCGAATATTAGAAAATTATTGTTCGTAATTTCGAGAGAATCTATCTTTATTGCATACATTATTATATTTTTTAAATTAATTAATACTTTTATTTTTCTCACATATTTTATTTTTATTAACTTAGATTTACGTTTCTCTTTTTAATAAAAAGTTTTGGATAGACTGCTTTTGAAGATTCTTCCTGTTTGCTAGGACAAGTACTAACAATTTCGTTCTACCAATTATGATTTATGGTCTCGGATCTTGTTACGCATTGAACGCGATCGTCGTGAAGTCCGTCAGGAAAGAAGCGTTTCCACTCCGTTATTTTCCGATTCACTAATTTACAGTAAATTCGCATTTTCCGCGTTGCCGATCTTGAAGTGGGAGTCGTGAAGAGAGAGAGAGAGAGAGAGAGAGAGAGAGAGAGA